GAGTCGTCAGGATGTTTTCCAGTCATCTCAAATTGCACGAAGCTCTCTATAGAATTTATTTTTAAATATGCATCGTCCCTTCTTACATGTTTCCGTCTGTTGGTTCCTGGACAAGTCTTTTCTCCTCAGTCAACCTTAAAGTTCAGTTAAAAAATAAAGGCCCATCTTCTCATGGAATTATTAAGGTTCGGGGCTCTGTTTATGAATGGAGGAGCCTGAGGTTTTAGGATTTTTACTTAGAACATGGAGACATTTTCAATTTACTTGGCTCTTCTAGGCTCTATTAACATTCAAGTATGTCTGCTGGTTTTCATCTTTGATCCTGAGTTTGGATTCCTGGCTGAATTTACTTGTTTCCAATAGTTGTGTCACTTTATGTTTAATGGTGGAACATAGCAGAAGAGTGGGACAAGATTTTAAGGTAATTCAGGTCTGTCGATGTTCTTAGCTGTCATCTAGGCGGTCCCTGACTCATGGCAACCTCATGCACGATGGAACGAAACACTGCCCAGTCTGCGCCATCCCCACGATTGGTTGTGGATTGGACCATTGTCATCCAATCAAGTCTAGCCTTCCCAAAACCGTCCTGGCACCGTAATACATCTCAAGACCCCCTTTCAAGCACAATCTTGTGTTTGAGCCCCGTAGGGTGGGGGCAGGGTGGGGAGGTAACTGCCACTCTTGGTCTGAGGGGTGTGGGGCTCGAGTGGGAGGTAGAGTGCCTCTTTCTCTTCATTTCACCTCTCCCCTCCTTCTGTTTAGCAATTTTATTGCGGTATAGTTTACAATCATACCATAAAGTTCATCCATTTTCAGTGTACAGGTACACGAGCTTTAGTAAATTCATCGCTGTGTAAACATTAACATAAACTTGCTTTAGAATGCCTTCATGACCCCAAAAGTTTCCTGGAGCTGTTTGCTGTCAATCCCTGCTCCTATCCCAACCCCGAGCAACCGTTGATCTGCTTTCTCTCTAGTTTTGCCTTTTCTGGAAATTTTATATAAATGGTCCCAACTGGGTGCCCCCAGGGACAGACAGCCATCCAGCCTGCCCCAGACCACGGGGGACCCAGGATGGGTCGTCGCCAGTGATGGTGACGTGGTGGGGAGTTGGGGGACGGGGAGGAGATTGTGAGGCCCTGAGACTTTGTCCAAGGAGAGTGAAATAAACACGAAACAAAGCTGCGTAAATAAAGTCAGTTTACTAAATGGGCGGCTCGATTCCACTCAGGGTGGAATGAGGCCTAAATGGGCACCCAGGGCTGCTGGGCCTGCCAGGGCTATGGGTCCCCTTGGGCTTCTGGCTGAGGGGCAGCAGCAGGGTAGCCCACCGCGGCCCCAACAACCCAGCTGCCTGGCCCATGCTGTCTGGGACTCCGCTGTGGCTGTTGCTCAAGCCGGGCCCCCAAAAGAGAGTGGCATAAAGTGAAAACGTAACTGCCAACACACTGGTTTCAGTTTCAGTAAAGAGGAGGAGGAAGGGAGGCACCTGGGGACCTAGAAAAGGTGGCTGGGTAGAGAGGTCTCTGCCAAGCTCCCCGGCCAGCCCCTCTCGCTAGACGACCCGGCCGTTGCTTCGATAAATGCTGCTTTCATTTCCATCTCCCATCTCGGAATCTGGAAAGCAAAAGGATCTCTCAGGCTGTGGAGCCACGGTGGATTGTGGGATTTGTCATGGAGGGGCATGGCGTCGCTGCCCCCTCCTGCCCCTGCCCCAGCTCCAGGGGCCAGCTACACACATGACTATGGTGCCTGGAAAAGTGTGGAGAACAGGGACCCACAGTCGGGCTGGGGAGCCTCCAGACTGCCCCATGGGGTGCCAGCTAGGCTAGGGCAGCTGGACTGTAAGCTCCTGAATGATAGCGCCTTAGTGGTCTCCGCATCCCCACACAGCCTGGTGCAGAAACTGGCTGAGTGTGTCCAGCAAATGTTCACAGGCTGAGTAACTGCAGTAGCCTTCACCCTTTCTCAGAGTATGCCCCCACAAAAGCCCCATCTCCTAACTTGCCAGGGGAGGGAGGAGTCAAGCTAGGTTTTTAAGAAATCTCAGAAAACAAGTGGATGGAGGCAGAGGGATACGTCCTGGGACAACGCGACAGTAGGGTCCAAGTCGGGGAGGTGGGAGTGGGGCTTCTTTCCTTCTTGGTGGAAACTCCTCAATACATTTCTTTTCCCATTGGGTTGAGTGGGTGCTTCCTGACTATTTAGGAACAGTTTTTGACTGTTGAAGAACCAGGGAGCAGGAGCTAATAACACCCCCATCCCTATCTGAATCCTCTCAGCTCCCACCTCAGGTCTCGAGGAAGCTCCAGCCTCACTCACTTCCCCAGTGCCCCTCTCACCCACCCTATGCTTTCCCCCAAAGTCTAGCTGCCTTGACTCCTGGGTCCGGCTGTGCTCTGGTTCCACGTTTGGCCTGAAGGCTCTCCAGGCTGCCCTTGCTTCTATCAGAACATGCACAGCTGTGGGAGGTATTGGTGTTGGGTTTGGCTACGGCAACAGTCATTTGTGCCACCTGGGAAGCAGCCGGCAGGGGCTGGGTCACAGAGCCACGGGACAGGTTATCAGACCTGGGCACACACACCCAAGGCCTCTCCCCACCGGCCGTTACCTGGGTGCCACTTGTGACATTTGTGTGGGGCCTTGGTTCCAAGTGCAGGGGTGGGGCTGCCTGCTGAACAGGTCGGCACCGCCCCCCAGAGCCACAAAGAGGATTTCACCTGGTGTGCCCTGATGTTTTACCTTTCCTTATCTCTGTCTACCTGACGGAGGTGGGGTGGCAGGTCACAGCTGTGACTCAGCTGTAGCAGCCCGTCTTAGCAAAGTGCTGCCAACTTGGTGAGTCATGCCAGGCTGCCGGGAACCAAAGAAGAAAGTGGCCTGGGGGAGGGCGGGACAGAGGTGGCTCTGCCTCTGGCTTGCATCTTGATAGTGGCTCTGGCAGGAAGCCAGGCAAAGCCTGCTTCTGACAGCACACCAGGATGGTCCCTCTGTGTCCGCCTCTCCTCTGCCTGGGTGGCGCCCACCAGTGTCTGGGGTGTGTGTGTGCAGGCTAGCGGCAGGTGGTGAGGGCCTGGGCTTGCATTTCCAGGGCAAACTGGCTGCTCCCACATTGGGCTGGGGCATCGGGAGAGGGGCCCTAGCGCTGGTCCCAGCTTGCTCAAGAGGGATGGCACATGGATGGTGAACTGTCAGTGGGGCCATCTGCCTGGGAGCAACACTGGAGGGCACACCTCAGCGCAGGGTACCTGCAAGAAGGGCCTCAGCGTCCCCTCCGTCCCCTCGTGGGGCCTCGACCAATTCCTTTTTTCCACCACACCAGGGAATGCTCTTCTCCTGTCCTTAGAGACGTCAGTCTCACCTTCAGGGGTCGGGAAGACCCTAAGCCCAGGCTCGAAGTTCTTTGAGGAAAAGCCTGCATCTCTCGTCGGCAACTCAGAGGGCGCGGGAGACACCGGCGCGCGCTGGGCACCAGGGGTCGCCCTTGCCCACCGAAGCCACCCGGGCGGACCCGCCGCCGCGGGTTTCCCAGAACCCGGCAGAGGCGAGGCGGGGCGGGGCGGGGCAGGGGCGCAGCGGGGACCCTGCCCGGGCCTCGGGGACCGCGTCCTGCCGGGCCCAGGCCTCCGTCTGAGGTCAGCTCACTGTGACGCCCTTTTCTCAGCAGAGGCTCTCCGCCAAGGCCAAGATGGGGACCCGCCAGGCGATTCGCTAGCGCATGCGACCTGGCAGAGGGGCAAAGGCGTCTGCACCTAGCGATGGGGACGCTCCCGGGACACAAAGGTCTTTCAGAGCCTCGCCGGCACCCTTCCTGGCGGCCAGGGGCCGGGAGCAGCCGAGGCGACAATGCCGGAGTCTGGAGGTGGCCGCCCGGAGGGTCCCCAGGGCCTTGCGAGGGGGCGAGGGGGCGCTGGGCCCGCGCTGGGCCCTCACCGGGCTCAGCTGACACCGCGGTTGCCTCCAGGACAGGGACTCTGGGGGCTCCTTTTGTGAACGGAGGGAAGGGCCTTCCTCACTGCCTTTGAAAATGATCAGCACGGGTGGTTCGCGGGACTGCGCACCCTGAATGAGAAACTGGGTTCTCCGGGGCTGTCATCTGGCCCCACCCTCTGAAGCTTAGGGCTGGTGCAACCTCTCCTCCAGGCCGATCTATTAGGAGTTTCAAAAATCGTGAAGGAGCCTTGGTGGCCAGTGGTTAAGAGCTCGGCTGTTAACCGAAAGGTCGGCAGTTCGAATCCACCGGCTGCTCCTTGGAAACCCTATGGGGCAGTTCTACTCTGTCTTATAGGGTCACTGTGAGTCGGAATCGACGGCAATGGGTAAAAGCCTGAAGGGCTGCACCAGGATCACCAGGGGCCAGTATGTGGAAATGACAGAATCTCCGGGAGAGGCCCAGGAATCTGCATTTTTGGTATTTTCCCAGGTGATTCTTCCCTAGCATGGGAAGCACCGTTCTACACCTTTCAGGGCAGGCAAGTGTAAAATTTTTCCTCAGAAGAGCTTCTGGGGACAGAAATGTCATAGCTCCTTCAGTTCATTGCAATGTTTATTCCCACGCTGATGGAGAAGGCCTTCCTGAGTCTGACTGCAAGCCCTCCTGCTTTAATTAAGCACATCTTTCTCCCGTTTGGCTTTCTATGGGAATAACGAACAGGGAGGAGACTTTTCTCCAACCCGTTTGAGGAGAGCTGTCTTGCCTCCTTTGAGGGACCTTCCTCAGGAGACCAGTTTTCCCTGTTCAACCTCTGAATCCAGCAGACCTACTTGATTGGGCCAAACGGTGAGCAAGTCCAGTAAAGCCACTAGCTTGTGAATAACTGTGGTCCCTTGGGGTAATGGCTGAGCAGCCCTCATCCAGGATTTGGGAAGGAAAAACCCAGAGGACCCTGGCAGTAAAAAAACCGACAGGCTCACCAAGTACTGGCCGCTGGAGAATCCCAGCAAGGAAAAGGAAAAAACCCAGGGGCAAGTCATCCTACGACCACGCCCTCTTGCCCTGGGTTGCCCTCTTCCTTGCTTTCAGGATGAATTAAAATTCGTATCTGCTCTGCAGCCAGCATACTTGAACTCGCCTTCCTGATTGCTTTCTGCAGCTAGAATTTCGCAAGCTTTGTGGGGTGATTTTTGCCTCTGGGTGGTGGTCATTGCTTCCTTCCACAGTATTTGTTTCAGCACAGTAACAGCGAAAGAGTAAATTAGCAAACACCCTCAAAATGGCAGGACTGACCCCCAAACCTACTTTCATTTTCTTCCGGCCTGGGTTGTGGGTAATTTCTTGACAACTATGAGAAAGAAGACAATGAGAAATGAATTATATTTTTTTTTTCCCAATGCAATTGTGAACAGATGTATAACTCTCTAGTCTCAGGAATGTTCCAGGAATCTCTTACATCACCTTAAAGGGGCAGGGTAGTGGGCGGAGTGCCGAGGGCAGGGTTAATACTCAGCATCAACAGGGCTTAGCTTAGTCCTACAGACAGCTGCAGAGATAACCTGGTCACCTTTGCTGTATCAGGGCTTCTAAATTCGGCAGTGGGAGCAGACGTGCTTCCTTTCAGCAATTGATCCGAAAAGCGGCATCCCATTCTGACAGTCTGAATTACATTTACAGGCCATGGGGGTGAAGGCCATGTTAATTGGCCAGTTGCCTCACCACTGGCTTTTAAACAATCGGTTGTATTCTCCGCCTGGCAGGAAGCAGCAGGCCCATCAAGGCTCTGGGCTCCCTCTTTGTTCTGACTTTATGGCATTTTATGCCACAATAAGAAACACTGTGTACTCCGTGGGAGCCCATTGTGCCAGGCTGCAAGGATGTGGGCTCTGGGGCAGAAGGGATGGTGCTCTTCCCCTGCAGAAGAGGGGCTTTGTGACAGGCTGGGGGGCAAAACAAGGGGTGCCAGACACTGTTACTGGGGCCACTGCCTGGCCAGTGTGGAGGCAGTTGTGGTTCCTGAGTCCCTTTCTGTGCCCGAGGAGAGGGAGGCCGCCTCTCACCCGCAGGCCAGGGGAAGAGCTGGGGGGAGGGATGGAATTTCTTCTCGAGTAGCAGGTCCCCGTTACCTGGTAAATTATACATTAGGACTGTGCTAACCACTGCCTCCATTGTCCCTGGGTTGCTGAGTGACCTCAACCTACCTCTAGATTCAGAGGCACCGGGTCTGTGTCAGGTGATAGTATCTACCTAACCAATGCTCACACTTCACTAGGAAATTCCATCTTGTTTAGTAGGGAAGTTCTTCTAACTATGGACCATATTTTGGGAAGACATGGTCCTTCCAATCAAGAGTTTTTGCTTTTTCAGAAATGATGTAAATAGGGAGGGGGCCTGGAGAAGGTCCATCCAGCTTCACATGAGAATAGACTAGTGGGCTTTGAGAGCTACTTCAAGACCCTACCTTCCTCCCATGCCAGCCACTGCACTCCCCTCCCCTCCCGCCTAGTTGGATGTTTCCACCATCAACAGCACACCTGGAGCAGAAGACAAAGGAGGGAGCTGCCCGCAGGAGACCATGAGAGGAAGGCCTGGGTTCCTTCTGCCCTTTGGCTCTTAGCAATGTGATGGGGATTCTTTCTGTTGCTGTTTCTGCTAGTTAGACACCTAGGCATCTAGGGGGCCTGGCCATGGGCAGGCAGGAAGGGGAACTCATGGTACAGATGTGTTTCACTTTGTGGGGGGTGGGGCATGGTAGAGACAAGACCTATGGCTAGGAGGAAGCCAAGGACAGGGATCTTGGGGGAGCAGGCCCTGAATAATTATGCACCCTGCATGGGTGCAGCAAGGGAGAGCGAGAAGGCAAGCCCATTTAGTTTGTCCCTTTACCTCAAGCCAGCCCTGTGTCCCCGTCAGACTCGAGGGTGAGCCAAGCGGGACCACGTGAGTCTGGTGGGGTCCTGTGTTCTCTGGAGATGCTCTAACCATGAGCATCTGAAGTGAGAAAAAGCAAGTTTCTTCGTGGGCACTTGCAGAGATTAACATTCAGTGCCTTCCTTCAGCCTGGACCTTACCTCGCACCCACCCGCGTCGGTCCTTCCCATCTTCAGTGCTCCCCACGTGAGCCCAGCGAGCCTGTTCTATTGCAACAGCCTCCCAGCTGGTCTCTCTACCTCCAGTTTCATCCTCCTCCAGACCACCCTCCACATGGTTGCCTGAGTTAGCTTCCAAAGGTGCAAACCTCCTGACCCCAGGTGAGAAGCCTTTCCATGGCTCTCCAGAGTAGCACACAAACCTTGCAAGTCCTGGATCCTTCCTGTGCCTCCAAGCTCACTTCCTGCCAGGCCCTGGCCACACTCAAGTCCTTGACTTCCAGCAAACATGCCACATCTTTTCAAATCTCTGAGCCTTTGCATGTGCATTTCCCTTTGCATAGAAAGACCTTTCCCTCCCACCTACCCTTGCCCAGCTGGTAAATTCCCGAAGATTCAGTTCAAACGTCACCTCCTCAGTTGATCAGTTCATGGGAGCAATAATGGAAGTAGCTTTGCAGTCAGACTCCCAAAACAGTGGGAATACTGACAGCAAAGAGTACAACCTAATTGGATTAAAAGCAAGTCCTCTGAAGTGCTGGCTTTCAAATGAAGATCCTGCCTGGAGAGTCTGTCTTGGAGAAGAAGCAGAAGAGCGGTTGGGGGGAGGCGAGAACAGTCACTCTTCATTTCATCTGACTCTGCTCCATGTTCCTTCACACCTGGCTCAATCTTCTATCATAACATAGACATTATTATTATTATTATTTTAATATTCTTGGTTACATGTCTGTTCTCTAGACTCTGAGCCCCTTATGGGCAAGGAGTATCTTAATTATCTTTGTATTCCCGGAATCTAGCTTAGAACCTGACATATGGTAGGCACGCAGTAAATTTTTTAATAAATCTTCAACTTGAGAGTGTTCCTTTACCTAAAATACCTTTTTCCCCACAAATTTTCCCTATCACTTTCTCCAAAACGTAACTCAAGACTCCCCTTCTGGAAGAAATAGGTTCTGAGTCATTAGTTCATTATTTGTGCATGAAAAAGTTATTGCGCCTCTAGTATGTGCTAGGCATTTTCTAGGCAATGGATGAGTGTGGGGTTCAACAGAAGTAAGGTTTCCATGCCCTGACCCATGCAGACCACTTGTTATTTGGCAGTCATTGGCCACTTTGTAATCACTCAACGTGCCTAGGACATGGTTGGCAGTCAAATAAGACCCACTATGTACCTGCTTCATGAGAGAAAGGTGTAGAAGGCCTGGCTTTGCCTTCAAAACAACTCACAAACTCATTTGGGAGACAATTGCTTCTGGAATTGCTGAAAACTTCAGGATATCCCAGCCAGAGAAGATCTTATATTGTCAATTTCACAGCCTCTAGAATTTTGCTGGGTCCACTGGTTCTCTTGTCCGAGTGCTGCTTTCCCTTTATTTCCTGGTTCTATAATTATGTGAGTCTCATCCCTCAACTTGCTCATAAGCTCCTCAAAGAAAGGGAAACCATGGTGTCATGTCTGGTGACCACTTTTTCTGACCCCCATCTCAGCATCTGGTACAGGGCAGTGCATGAATGAATGATCATTACCATTAATGAGCATTCCTTACTGGTCACTTAATGAGACACAATGAAGAAGCCCAACGGGAATGAGTTCTCCAGTTCTGGTAGATAAAGGAGAGGGAAAGAGGGTTTCTCACTCAGCCTAGTGCCTCTTTTTTTGCTAAATGGTATTCTCAGATTCTGAATATTTTCTACCAGAAAATAGTGAGACTCAAATCAAGAAGAGTCTGAATCTGACAAAAGCCATTTGGTTTCCTACTTCCATTTGTGTACCTCTTAACTGGTTATTTGCATCAGTTATTGCTCGGTGGTTTAAGTGGGTGAGATCTATTTCAGGGTTGTGGTGAGAGAAGAGTGTTGCCCAGGCGTTTGCTTTCCTTCCGCCTTGATTCCCAGCTTGTTCCTGGTGTACCTTGCTCCTTTTCTGTAGGATAGTTTTATCAAGAAGGTTCTTCAGAGTCAGAAGCCAATATTTCAGGGCCTTGGTTATAATCCAGTGGGTTGTACTGTTTGTTGCCTTCTCATGTTTGCTTTATAGTCCTCGTGGTTACTAATCTCGCCTGCATTATTGGCTCAGCGATGTTGGGGCCATCTGTAACCTATATCAACTCTGGGTGCTTTGAAGTTCAACATGCAATAAAATGTTCATTAAAAAATGTGGAGTCATGAAAACGAGGTTATAGAAATGTTAACGAAGGATCGTTTCCTGCTTCCTGTACTTTCTTTTCTTTTTTTCTAAATGTATTTCTTTGAGGAATTTATGTCACCATTAAGACCATGAAACAATTAAGGAAGGATAGGCCTGGGTCAAAAACAGGGTGAGATTCCTGAGAAGATATCTTGGCAAGGATCCAGCCTGGTTTCTTAATAGAGAGCTTAGGGTCTAAGGGAGAATTTAAGTCAGAAAAAAAAGTAGGAACAAATCTAGAATTCTCATGAGCAATGGTTGGAACCCAGCATTCTTAATAGGATGGCTCCAAATGGATCGCAACAGCCCACAGCCAGAAAGGGTCTGCTGCTGTGTGAAGAACGTTTGGAATCATTGGGTTCCAACCTCCAAACCGTGACTGATGCCAGCAGATGCCTCTTGTTCATTTGAAGGAGAAGAGGAGAGAAGACGGGTAGATTGAAAGAAACAGAGACAGAGAGAAAGGGAGAGGAAGAGGGAGAAGAGAAAAAAGAAAGGGAAGAGAAGGAAGAAAGAGAGGTACATGGGTGGGGTGGGAGAGTGTCACTTAAAAAAGCTGTTTCATGGCAGCTTTGATGGCTTGTCCACTGCCACACTGGCTCCCTTTCCAGTCATGACCTTCTGACATGAATGGAGGTCAAATTTTAAGTCTCAAGGGGTGTTCTGAGAATCCAAAAACTAAAAGCATACCAGTCCATGGCATGACCTTAAGGTAAGGGAGGTGTCCCCAGTCCTGGCAATGCTCTCTCCTGGTCTGGCCACAGAGAGGCATTTAATGAAGAAAGAAGTTCCTCGGGCTCATGGTTCTGACTTGACAATGACCAAGTATACTAGGACACTTCAGAGGTCAGCCAGTCCAATGCCCTCATTTCTTCCATGAGGATGATTGTCATAGATTGAATTGTGTTCCCCAAAAATATCTGTCAACTTAGCTGGGTCATGATTCCCTGTATTGTATGATTGTGTACCATTTTGTAAATCTGATGTGATTTCCTTATGTGTTGTAAACTCTATCACTATGATGAGGTTATATGTGATTTCCTTATGTGTTGTCAACTCTATCACTATGATGAGGTTATACTGATGAGGTTTACAAGATTAGATAGTGTCTTAATCCAATCTTTTCTGAGATATAAAAGAGAGAAGTGAACAGAGACACATGGCAACCTCATACCACCAAGAAAGCAGTACCGCGAGCAGAGCGCATCCTTTGGCCCTGAGGTTCCTGCGCAGAGAAGTTCCCAGACCGAGGGAAGACTGATGCATCACAAGGACCTTCCGCCAGAGCTGACAGAGACAGAAAGCCTTTCCCTGGAGCTGATGCCCTGAATTTGGACTTGTAGCCTACTAGACTGTGAGAGAATAAATTTCTCTTTGTTAAAGCCATCCACTTGTGGTATTTCTGTTAAAGCAGCACTAGATGACTAAGACAATAATTCCACTGAGGGTTAAGGATATTGCTAAGGCTAGTCACCAGTTGGTGGTAGAGCCAAAATTCTCCCTCCACACCATGCTGCCTCCTAGAGGCCCTTAAAGGAAGGGCAGCTACAGATTACCATTCCTGGTAAATACACTGTCACTTCTCTAATGACATATGGTAATACATCAGTACCTTTATTTCTTGGCAGTCTGTCTCCTCCAGCAGGCACACACACACACACACACACACACACACACACACACACACACACACACACACACACACAAGCACAATTTACCATGGGCTCCAAAACAAAATACATAGCGAGGCCCCTCTTATGCTTTGACTGCTATTTAAACAGCTCTCCCATAGGGGAAGTCCTGGTTTTCACTGATCCTCCACGCTTTGCAGTGGGCATGCCCATACATGATGCACCCCCAGTCTCAGCATCCTTGCTGGCTTCTGTTTTGGGGGGCAAATATCTGTGGAGACTCACTTACATGATCATTGATGATCATTTAATTACTACTTATGTTAATAGTAAGCAATTGTGTGATTATCACTTTACAGCCAGAGGACCACTGTGTATATGCTACAACTACTAAGCCTTAGTCTTAACAATGACACTCCCATATCCTACCAAGTGACTGTGAGGACCTCAACAGATTATACATCTAATAAGCAATGCTACAAGGTTTTTAGAACTGCTGCCAGATGGCTCTGGGTTAGAGCCAGACTTACCCTCTCTCTTGCAACCCGACTGTAGTTGAGTCTCATGAGTTCTGCAAACCTCTGTTCATAGAGGTGAAGCAACAGCACCAGGTACAAGCCCGAATTCATCAGCTCGTTTTGTGCCTAAATATGGAAAGGAAGGCTCTTAAATTCATGTATTAAATATTCATGATCTAAATCATGGGGTGGAGGGTAACAAGGGGTGGCAAGAAATGGACAAGAACCCAACTCAAAAGACAAGGTCTGCCCTTGGGAACCAGAGAGTGAGGCAGGAGGAGATCCAGGGTGGAGGCTGGGGCAGTTATCCTCCTGGGATTCTCTACTACCTAGAGGAGGATGCTCTGAAAAAGCACCATTCTCCAGGTTCAATCCCATTCCACAAACATTTATTGAGCAGTTACATATGTATAGCTTTCTGTTAGGTGTCATGGGGAACACAGAGCCTGCTGGGACACTGTAGTGGGTTGAATGGTGGCCCTCAAAAAAGATATTCACATGTCCTAACCTCAGGAACCTGTGAATGTGGCCTCATTTGGAAAAAGGGTCTTTGCAGATGGAATTAAGTTAAGGATCTTGGGACAACATCATCCTGGATTATCCGGGTGGGCCCTAAATCCAATGACATGTCCTTATAAGAAAAAGACCGAAGGAGAGATTTGAGGCAGGCTGAAGAGAATAAGACACAGACACATAGAGATCAGAGGGCCATGTGAAGACAGAGGCAGAGATTGGAGTCATGAAGTCACCAATCGAGGAACATCTGGAGCCACAAGGAGCTGGAAGAGGCAAGGAAAGACTCTCTCCCAGAGCCTCTGCAGGGAGCACAGCCCAGCTGATACCTTGCTTTCAGACTTCTGGCCTTCAAAACTTGAGAGAATATAAATTTCTATTGTTTTAAGCCACCTAGCTTGTGAAAATTTGTTATGGCAGTCTTAGGAAACTAATAGGCATCCCCGGGTGGTATAAACAGTTAATGTGTTTGGCTGCTAACCATAGGGGTGGAGGTTCAAGTCCACCCAGAGACCTCAGAAGAAAGGTCTGCTGATCTACTTCAAAAAGATCAGCCATTGAAAGCCCTATGGAGCACAATTCTACTCTGACACACATGGGGTCACCATGAGCCAGAGTCAACTGGTTTTACTAGTAGGAAACTAAGATAGACCCCATCATGTGATGTAGGAGACAAGCTCATTCATAAGCAGCTCTAACACAAGTTGGATGTATCCAGTGCTACGATGGAGATGGAAAAGGGAAGAAAGATTGGTTGAGTATGACATGAAGGAGGCTTCTTGGAAAAGGTGGTCTTTGGTGGTCCTTGACAGATGGGAGGGACTTCGGTAGATGGCTGTGAGGCATGCGGAGGGCCTTTCAGACAGAGGCACTGAATGCGAGCAAAGGTATAGGGGCAGAGAGAGCAGTGAGTGTGTGGAGCCAAATTCCCTACTCACTGGTGAGGCTGGAGTATATTATGGGGAGAATGTTTGTTTGGGGCTTAAATCTTTTTGGCATGGTCTAGGGAGATGGTGGAAACGCTGGTGGTGTAGTGGTTAAGCGCTATGGCTGCTAACCAAAAGGTTGGCAGTTTGATTCCACCAGGTGCTCCTTGGAAACCATATGGGGCAGTTCTACTCTGTCCTATAGGGCTGCTATGAGTCGGAATCTACTCGACAGCAACGGGGTTGGTTTTTTGGTTTTTTTAGGGAGATGGTGAGGTGGAGACCACTTTAGGAAGCACTGAGGAGTTTGGACTTCACACTGTACGTCACGTGGTGCTAGTGGTGTCTCTGAGCAGAGGGGTAGCCACGAGGAGATCTGTGTCTTGGAAAGGCAGACTTCTTTCTGTGGGAAAGTCTGAGGATACAGATGCCACAGCGCTGCTTTACTTCTCTAGATCCCTCGTCTGCCCAGAGAAAGGGCCCTAGGCCTTAGCTCTGTGCGTTTCTCTTTACAATTGGGCCTGATAGTGGCCTCAGCTAAGGTCCCTGCCCCAGCTGGTCTGTTGTCATTGAACTCCCAGACAACATCTGCCTGGTAGGGTCTCAGACGCCACTGTAAACCTCAGTGCCTTTGCTTGCATTCCTCCCGTTTTGGTCTGTTGGCTTGTTTTCACGCATCTGTTTTAAATGATCCTCTCTCCTCTTTCTCCCAGATCATATCTGTAACTTCCTTTACGGCTGTCACAAAAGTCACCTCCTTAGTGACTTCGTCATCACTCCGGTAGCTCCTTTACTCCAGGACTCCTAAGTGCTTGTCTTTGTCCTCTACATTGTATCTTGTACCTGTTAATGTTTCTGCTTTTTCTGGAGCGGTGGGTTTATTTCTTTGTGCGTTTTCCCAACAGGTGTGACACGGGAGGTTTGGGCCATCTGGCTGACCATGCCCCTTCTCTCCTCAGCTCCTTTGGCTGTACTGCAAGGCGTCACACTTTGGACCCTTCACAGACCACGCTGGTCAGTAAATTAGCAGTTTTAGTAAGGACTCTTTCCCCTCTGCAGGGTACAGGCAGGCGGGGAAGCCGCTTTAATCCCCCATCTGTCCTCATGCCCAAGCCCCATGGGTGGAGAGTGGGGGGTGCTCTGGGATGGGCCAGATGGTGCTCAGGAAGCGGCCCAGCCCCAGGGACTGACATTCTCAGCAGAGGCCATGGCCCCTTATATCACCCTTGGGAAAGGTCGGAGCTGTCACTCTGTTTTCCCAGGAGACTAGAAGCTTGGACTTGACCCGGCGACCACTTCAGCACCTCATCGTCCTTCCTTCCGCAGCAGCCTGGGCCCATCTCCCTGCTCCCATTAGCTCAAGCGTAGCTTCAGAGGGTGGCACCCAGCACACCTCTTCCGGGACAAAGAGCTGCCAGAAGAGGTGCCGAAGTCCAGCAAGGATCCATGCACTCTTCCTTCTGGATTGGTGCCAACTCGGGATCTTGGTGACAACGAGCCCCAGGGTCACCACTCACAGGCCCTCCCAGTGTCCTACAGACCCGCCCTTAAAGGCTCATTTGAGGAAGCCCGAGCAGTGAGTCTCCTATTTTTAGCCTCTGTCATGTTTTCTGTGCTGTTCTGGCCTTGGCCTGGAGTGGACAGAGAGGAGGTTGCTTGTTGTCACTTTTTTCTGTTTTAATTGCCTCCTGTCACCCTCCCACAAGTGAGTTGGTGCCTGCCATCTCCTTTAAGGTTGTCCCGCAAGCCACCTCCTTGGGGAAGCCTTCCTAATGTGCCCATTAGCTCCTCCAACAAGCCAAGCCTTGCCTATGCTTGTTTTTCTCGGCGGTGGGCTCCTCCTGCGAGCGGCCCTGCCAACTCTGGCTCTGCCAGTGAGCCTTTATGCACATATGCACTTGGATGCATAATGGCAAATCAATCAGCTAGAGATGGCTTGGAACTATCAGGTCTGTCAAAGCACTGGGGGGAAATCATTTACTTTTTATGACTCAATGAGGCCCGGAGGCATGCAGATGGGAAAATATCCACTAATGTTTTCTGCAGATCATTTGAAAAGCCACTTCTAGCAGATTGTGTCTCTCCTCTGGTCTGTGGGAGGGGACTTGTCACACGGCACCATAAATCTTGCAGGCTGAGCTCCTTTATGTGCGCCCTTTGCATGTTGTGCGCACGCCTGCAAAGCAGAGGATGCGTGACAAAGGGGCTTGGCCAGCCAATGGGAGCGGGCGTTTGATAGTCAACTCAGAGTCATCCTTTGTGCTGCGCTACAAGTGGGAGGGTTTTGGTATCTGAAAGAGTTCCTCGGTGTTGGTTCCGCAGGGGCAAAAGGAACTTGATTTTGGAGCACTGGTTATCAGAGCGACTCCTTCCCTACTCCTCCCTGACCAGTGAGGCCACACGTTGACCCCAACGCACAGACTGGAGGTGTGGGCATGGGAGGAGAGGGTGGGAGGCCTGACAAGGAGAAGCCTGCGAAGCTGTGGACAAGAGCTGGGGAGAGCACCGCCCGCCTGCCAGCTGTTTTTCCTTCTTTTCTCCTGCCCCCCTTCATTTTGTTAATATTCATTTTGGCCAAGAGATTGGTCACTGATGGAAAGTCTCAATATCATCCACCAGAAGAAGCTGACAGCTTGGCGGAACATTCTATCAAAATCTTCACATGTGTTTGAGAGATGCTCCTAGGTTTGAGGGTGATTAGGTGACTGCATGTGTCTGAGGACATCTGTCCTTGGCTGGGATGGAGCAGAGCCAGGCCTGTGTTTCCGAGCCATGCCAGCCAGAGGCCCGCTGAGACCCTCCCGTGCTGCACTGGGAAGACAGCAGGAGCACATCTCTATCACACAGTGGGTGAAGGCCTCCAGAACTCATCTCGCACAGAATGTGCTGTTGTGTAAGATGGGCAGCCTGAGGCCCTGGAGTGCCATGACTTTGGGCAAAGAGACTTAACCGCACAAGGCCAAAGTGACTTCATTTATAGAAGAGGAGAAGCAATCCCTGCTCTTCCTGACTCCCCAAGGTGTTATGATAAAATGAGCAAAGAGAAGTAGAACAGGTATTTCACAAAGCAAAACCGTCCTATGTGAAGCAAGGATTAAAGACAGGATTCAGGGAAACCAACTGGGTGTAAGATCTGTGAGGGCAAGGGCCAGATCCGCTTCGTTTGCTCTTGCATGCTTGCTGCCTAGCCCAGTGCCTGGTACATAGTACATGCTATATACATAGCAATACACAGATGTTGAGGGTACAGAAGACAGAATGAGAAAAAAGGTATAATTTTGGACCCTATGGTGGTCCATTCAGACATGACTTTTGACTTTAGTGGTTCCAACTTCAACGTGCATCAGAATCACCAGGAAGGCCTGTTAAAACACAGTTTCTGGGCACACCTACACCCACCAGAGTTGTGGTTCAGTGGGTCTGGGATAGGGCTGAGAACACACATTTCTAACAAGTTCCCAGGTGATGCTAATGCTTCTGGTCTGGGGACCACTGATGTTTGAGAACAACTGCTCTAAACTAAGGGCCAACAGTTAGTAGCCCCTGCCGAGGTGTACAGAACCAAAAGAGGACATGCTCTAATCTAAGCCCCTCCACACTCTCAAGGACCACTGACAGTGCCCATTGGATGCCTAAAGGGCACGGCAGTCAGATCCTGAGGAAGGTATCAGTCTCAGATGTCTAAGACCTCACCCCCAAGGGTCTTAAACATCTCTTCTGCTGAGAGGCCCTCTGTGGTCCCGAGACCAGGTCAGACTCCTCTGCAGATGTTCCTCCAGCTGCCTGCGCACCTGTGTCCTGACCCTCCCACACCACGGTTATTGCTCACTTATGGTCTCCCCGTTAGAAGGCAGCGACTGTGCTGGTCCTGTGCACCATGGCATCTCCAGAACAGTGTCTGACATACAGTAGGCACTCAGCGAGTGTTTTATAAGATAGTTACCACCATCCACTACTGTCCCCCATTTGGCAAATCAGTCTTATTATATTGGGGCGATGATGATTCTTGGCGGAAAGTCTTTGCACCACATAAATTGACAACTATCTTACGAAACGGTTCTAGTCCCATAGAGAAATGCTGGGACTATTAAGAATGCTATTCTTAATCCTTAAAGAAGCAAATGATGGGATAGAAATGGATGGGTGACATGGAGTACCATTCTCTGTAAGAAAATGACTTCAATCAGTCAATCAGCACATTCAAAAGTGTCACTTTCTCCACAGCTGGCTTCATGCCACCACATGGGGTTGTTGTGGACCAAGCCAGGGGAGGAAAACTGTCATGTCAACTTTAATGACTTTCTAGAAAAGTGGGGCAAAAAAATAAAGAAGAAAAACAAAACACACACAGTTAGTTAAAATTCTCTCTTATGCATATTCTACCACAGTACTTTTTACTGTGGTAAAATATGCACAATATAAACTTTTATAAATGTATATATTTTATATATTATATATTGATACCTGACCCCAACCCAGACAATTACATCAGAATATCCGGGGTTGGGATCTGGGTATCAATATTTTAATAGATCAAAAAGAAAAAAAAGGACATTAAGTTAAATGTTAAAAGTTATCATTGTGGGAAATTTTTGTGTGTGTTTATGATTTTCATAATTAGAGTTAAACAAAATTAAAAGAAAACTAAATGGGAAAAATGCATTAAAAAAAAGTCGCGGTCACTTGAGAGCTAGGCTGAGCTGAAAGCAGCCCTAGGCCTTTTCTAGTTTTGTTACTTTCCTTTTACTGGCCTAGATTTGGCACCAGCCACTCTCCTTCTCGAGAAGGGAACCCATTGCCGAAGAGTGAAGAGCACTGAAGGTTGGCTAAGGGGGCCCAGATGAGCCAAGGTTTGGGAGTGGGGAAAGGGCTAGGGCCTCAGAAGCACAAGGGCATGCATCAACCCCCACAGCCAGGCTGAGGGGCCTCCCCAGCTGGGCTTGTCTCCTCAGTAGGCTCACGGTGCCTGGAGTGAGCTGAAGTTTTATTACATCCTAGGTATCTTTGTGTTAAACAACAGTTACCTCAGTCTCTATCCACAGAAAATTACTGAACTCATCTAAGTCACACTTTTCTTGTGTCTTGAGTTTAACTAAGCAAACAGACACTATTATAGTCACAACAGGCCATCAGAACTGCTGGAAGAGTGTGAGCCCTCAACTGCTTTCCATCAGCAGATAAATATCGCACCTTGGCCCTTGTAACTGTTGTTCTCACACAGGGTAGGTCTGTCAATCTAGTTTCCACTGGTGATTATAATGAGGGGTGTTTTCAAAAGGCTTTGGTGATCTGTCAAGTTCTCACTGAAACAAATTTAAAATTGTTTCTACTTCCATGTAGAATAATTCCCATGCTGGATATTTTCCATTTTCCCCTCCAGAGCTACTTTCTATCCTGCTTTGTGCCCTAGAGGCTGACCTCAATGGATTGCATCAACTAGGCTTCCTTGCCCTCTGGTTTCCTGTTGGGTTTGGCCAATGGGAAGCACTGGCAGAAGACCAGACAGCGGGAGGAGAGAGAGGCTGGGGTGCTTACTCCCACTGTTTCCTTTCTGCCCGAAAGTGGTACGGCTGTGGTTGCTTTCCGCTACTGAAGACCACTTGCTGTTGGGTGACCTTCTCCTACAGCCACAGCCCTCCCAATCCCAGTAACTGCTCCTTCCCCTTGTCATTTCAGGCCTAGGTGTGGTCATTTTGCTGGTCTCAGAGTGCTTCACCATTCCTCATTGTTTTCTCTTACTGCCTACATTTTGGCCCTTCATTCAGCTCTCATCAATCACCTCCTCGGAACATGCCATTATCTATTTCCTGCTCTAGCTAACACAATTACTTTCACAGTTCTTTCTAGAATGTGCTTGTAGCTGGTCATCTCAGCTAGGAGGCTGAAGTGAGGCTGAGGATATGGGTATGACCCCTGTGTAGGTCAGTTAGCTTTGTTGAATGGCGGACTCTAGCCTGGTACCTGGTGCACTTTAGCTTTCTCCCTTGAGTGCCAAAGAGATTGGACATCTCTGTGGCTGTAACAGCGCAGTTCTTATTTACTGAGAGCCTTCTCTGTACAGGCACTGTATTATGGGAAGTACTTGTGGCTTTTCCTACCTCCAGCCTCCCCCTTCCTACAGATGAGAGAACTGAGGTCCAGAGAATTTATGTAGCTTCCCTAAGGTCACACAGCAACCTTGGGGAAGGGAGTAAGATTTAGGTTCAGATCTTATTCAAAGTCGGTGTGCTTTTTGGTGGACCAGGTTGCCTCTGGCTACATGAGTGCAGAGATTTCAGTTCAACTGGAAAAATTTGCTGTTGGTGGTCCAATACCATAAATATCACTGATAAAGGAACCGTATATGGTAGCAGCAGCCTGGCAGCAGCAGAACAATATGGAAATGCTTGAGATCAGAAGGAACCTTTACAAAACAAGGCATCCCCCCGGACTGACAGTATTTGTGATGTACGCACGCTATTCTGGTAGAATCCGGTTAACCGGGCCTCATCTGGACTTCTTCTTCTCAGGAAACCTGACAGGCTCCAGTTCCTGAAATGACCTGTGTTTTGAGATGACCACACGGGCTGTGTCTGCATGCTGGCTGGCACCTTGACCTCAGCCACTCGCAAGGCCTGGTTCCTTCCAGTACTTTGACTCCAACATTCTCAGGGTCCAAGGATGTTAGTTGTTTCTGTTTCTCATCTCAGCTCTCTGTCTGGGGGCATGACTGAGCGATGAGAGACCCTCAAGTCTCAAAAACAGATGGACTGAAAATACTGTATTTATTTCTCAGGAAATCCTCTGTGGCTTTTTTTTTTTTTTTTTTTGCCAATCTCCTGAGGTCCAATCTCTGCAATTCTGCTATGTTGTACAGCATTATGTCCATTATACCAAGCTTGCTAATTGAGCTGTTCAAATCTTCTCATTTCTTATCAATTTTTTTTTGGCACTTATGTCTAGCAGCCTTAGGGTTTTAAAAAAGGAAACTGCAGAATTGCCCAGAATTGTACAGATCATTTTGACTCAGCTTTGCTTTTTACAAAAAAAAAGGTCTGGATACAGCTAATGCTGTGAGAGTTGAAGTGACATTTGACTGTTAACAATGATTTTATAGTTTTAGAACTGTGCGCTTTACAGTCGTGACTATTAATCATTTTTTCCAATCATGTTATGAGGGAGGTCAGTCTTAAATCATAAGGGCAATTATGGGCAATTCTTATTTGAAAAATACTTATTGACTGCTCATCATGTGCAAGGCATCTTCTTGACCACCACTGTCCAACAGAAATATAATGTGAGCCACAAATGCCAACCACATCTATAATCTGAAAATGTCTAGTAGCCACGTTAAAAAAAGTAACAATGAAAACAAACAAAAAAAAAAACAGGTGAGATTAACTTTAACAATATATTTTCTTTAACCCAATATATCCAAAATATTATCATTTCCACATATAATTAATATAAAAATATTACTATTACGTTTTTCTCTTTTTTTTGTTGTTGTTCTTAGTCTTAGAAATCTGATGTGTATTTCACACAGCACATCTCTATGAGCTCTAGCCACATTTCAAGTACTCAGTAGCCACACGTGGCCTGTGGTTTCAGCATGGGGCAGCACAGTTCTATATGGAAGATCGTTTGCCTGAGAATTGGGTGATTAACTGTTATCCCGGGCATAAATCACACCCCTCTACTACCGCCTAAGGTTAACTGACTCTTTTCACAGTATTAGAATTATAATCAAAATGCCCCAGTAGAGTTAATTCACTAGGTGTTAGAAAGCACACAGTAGGCAAAGAGTTAACGAGCTCAGCTTCTAACTGAAAGGTCTCTGAAGGTTCAAGTTCACCCAGAGGCGCCTCTGAATAAAGACCTGGTGATTTACTCCAGAAAAATCAGCCATTGACAGCCCTATGGAGCACAGTTCTAACCTGACACGCATGGGGTCGTCATGAGTCAGAATCGACTGGCCAGCACTGGTAGGCACTTCACACGTGTTTATTCACCTTGAATAAACTGGTTCCTTATTACCCCAGAGTCACTTGATGTTAAATAGGGAACCATCTCCAAGAACTTGACTTGCTGTTTTCCTCTTGTTGTTATTAAACTTAAATCGTTGTTGCTGTTGTGTGCTGTCGAGTCGAGATTCAGGCTCACAGCCACCCTGTATAATAGAGTAGAACTGCCCCATAGTGTTTCCTAGGCTGAAATCTTTATGGGAGCAGATCTCCAGGTCTTCGCTCCCGCGGAGCTGCTGGTGGGTTTGAACTTACAAACTTTTGGTTAGCAGCCAAGCCGTTTAACCACTGTGTCATCAGGGCTCCTTAAACTTAAATTACTTCAGCCATTTTTGGGGAACTTGCTAAACTTTTTGCTACTTCTGTGTGTCTAGTTGGCCACTGCAGCTTTCTACTTTTGCCCCTGACAGCAGGGTGACCTAAACCCAGGACAACCAAGGCTTTCCAACTCTTCCAAGTTCTAATTTAGTGGCAGACCTTGTCCAAGGAGCGAGCTAAATGGACATTCTCAGACTCACACCACACAAGGTCATCTACATTCCTGAAACCGAGTGAGGTGAGTTTGTTCCTGCCTGGCATGCCCAGCCAGCAGAGGAGGGCGAGTGGGAGGAAGTGCTTCTTACCCGGGATTGCTGGTGCTTCTGGTAGAACTCGTTCATGTTAAAGTCCTCCAGATCGACCAGCAGGCCTTGCTTACACATTTCGCACGTTTTCACGGCGCCTAGATCCGCTCCTTAAATTAGATAAAGAATTGTATGTTACATATAACCCTAGGTTTGCTTGTGTTGGCACTTTGGACAGATGATATTTTGAGAGCAAACCTGTGTGTGTTATGAATTCTGAGCGTCAGTGACTTTCATTTACAAGCCAGCCATGTTCTGTGGAAAATGACCTTGTGTCTGAGATCTGAAAAATGTCTTTGTAATCATTTTCATTATTATGCAAGCTTCATATAAGTGAAATTTCCATGACTTTTAAATAACAGGTCTTGCTTTCTATTTAAATATAAACATAATGGCTCATAAAATTGGAACTGCTACATGGAGGCTAAGTCTATAACATAGATGTTTACAAAAAGAGTGAACATTGGGCCCATGCCATTTTTCTTTTTTTTTTTCTTGCAGACCCAGCACAGGTCCAAGGAAATAAATCAGTAAGGACCAAAGGGATGGGAGAAGTTATCTTCAACCTGCAGCCTAAAAATCTGCCTCTATTGCTCTGCCCAGGTGACATTCCCACCTGAAAACAGTGAGGGAGCCAGGGGTCAGGTGTGAGTACTAGTTATAACAGTACCTAGCGCCAGGACTAAGCTGAGCTCAGACTCATTTGGGAAAAGAAACCCGAGAAGGCTTCCTTTGTTGCTGGGTTGTGTGTGTGTGTGTGTGTGTGTGTGTGTGTGTGTGTCTGTGTGTCTGTGTGTCTGTGTGTGTGTTGTAACATGTGCATGCTAAATCAGCATTTTTTTCTCCACTTAACTCTATTTCCCAATGCGAATGTGGAAGATGTAGACTCGTGGCTGTATGTCCACACAAACTCTCTGCCATACACTTTTTTCTTGAGTGTAGTTGCTGCATTTTGGCTAGTGATATACTGCTGTTTATTTTATGCATTAGAAAATAGAGGACTAATTAGTTACCTGCCTTTACTTGGTAAAGATCGGGTTTGTGCAGTTTTACAGCCTAGTTCTATCTTTCTGTGCTGGGAATATAAAGAAATAGTAAATAAGGGAGACTTTTCAAAGGACAAGGCTACACAGTGATCCCTTATCTATATTTTGTTTGATTTTTTCTTTTTTTTTTCTTTTTTTTTTTTAGCATCATTCTGTAATGCTTTAGGCTCCTGAATGTACCATGTGTCTTCCAACCTAATCCTGCTGAACATACCCATACTAGCAATGGCATTTACAAGCATTTAGCAACACTTTCATCACACATGTCTCGAGTACTTTTTCTGCACTAAATGCTTAATTGGCCCAAATTTCTAGTAAGATAAAGCATTGTATGGCAGAGTCATTAGCAACCCAAGTCAACTGGTTTCTTCGCTCTCCAAAGGACTGAGTACCTTGCTTGGCCTGTGAATGTGCATTTAAGCATCTTGGGCAGCAGAACTACATTCTCATGCTAGGGAAGGTGCATTCGTGGAAAAAGAGCTTCGGGGATGAGGCAATTAATACAATTACCCCCAGACGCTCATTCCTCTGCTCAAATGGCACGCTGTTTTGGCGAGGGGCAAGGCAACACCCCATGGGGACAGGGCGAAGCTGTGGGTCTGTCTCCTACAGTGATAACCAAAGAGGAGATCGTGCAAGAGAGAAATAGGATCTGGCTACACGGTAAAAGTTTTCTGAGAGGCGTGTCGGAAAGAGAGAGCAGCTATTTTCTAATCCAGTTGCTCTTTGCACGGATGTCTCATTTTTTTTGTTAAAGTTGCTCTCATTTCTGGAAGCATGTCTTGAAGAAACCTCCTGTTCACTGCCAAGAAAACTACAGCAGACCTACTGATGGGGCTATATTTAGGTTATAACCTCCACAGGGAGTTGAGAAGGGGCTTCACACCCAGTTATAAGATGTTAAAGGGAGCTGACAAAACCAGCACACGGAACTCTCTGCTGAAAATGGCTTTAGAAAATGAGATCAGCTCTCTTCCCGCCCCGACTGCAAAAAGGCAGCTCTGCTCAGTTGCTGAGGTGGCCCCCTCCCCTTCCCCCATAGGAAGGCAGCAGAACTGTGTTCTGGGGTTTCTCATGATGGGTGCTGAATTATTTTTGCCAGGCATCTGCTAGCTGGGCATGGCTGCCGTGCGCTTGCTGAGGCTCAGCTACTGACCCATTTCTTCTATTTCCTTTCTCCTGGGAGGCAATCTTAGCATCTCTGCTCAGGCCTTGAGCAGGGTAGGATTCAAGAGCATAAGGTTGCAGATTCCTCTCTCAGACTTGCAAAAGAAGAATCATTTTCCTCTTGTAATTAAAAGAAAGGGTTTAGACCCGCTGATTATCTATCAAGGCTGTGAGCAGAAACACTGGGCTCTGCCACGTTTCCCCAAGTTTCTGCTTGGGTGGGGAGGGGGACAGTGAGCTGTTGACAGGGCTCTGTGCCCCACACTGTGGTGTCTCATATTAATTATATGTCGTTGCACGTTTGCCGCTCTTCCTTCCCCACCTACCTGATGTTATTTTCACTTGCAGCCACTTTTTCAGGCACTCTTGATGAACAAACCGCAGGCTTCCCACACAGCCGCAAGGCTCCAGGAGGGGGTTGGTGGGGGAACCCCCGGCTATCTGACAGATGCGACACAAGTCTCCCTCCTCCTCGGAGTCCTCCTCCAGGAGACTAAACGGAAAACAAGCCCCCGTGACCAGGCGTCTACACGTTTGCAGTTTCCACAAATATCCATTTCCAGGGTGTTAGTGAGGGAAAGACGAGAGAACAATCCCCCAACCCTCTGCCCACCAAGGCTTCTGGGGCTCACCTGCTTCTGCCTCTGACCCCCACCGAAAATTCTTCCCAGTCTGGTTATTGATGATAGATGCAATAATTCTCATATCAGCTCCTTTGTAGTTATTGATACTTATGGGCTAACCAGTGGCACAGTGGTCAAGAGCTCAGGCTGCTAACTAAAAGGTCAGCAGTTCGAATCCACCACCCGCTCCTTGGAAACCCTATGGGGCAATTCTACTAGGTCCTGTAGGGTCACTATGAGTTGGAATCGACTCAACAGCAATGGGTTTGGTTTAGGTGACGGGCTGACTAAGAGAACCAGATGTGCTGTTATGATCAGCCAAGAAGTGTGAGAAAGGGCTACAGGGGGAAACAGGTCTCCCTGCCATAGCTGTCGTGAGGAAGTTGGTATAGTGATGAGTATGTGGGATTTGTCATCAGGGCTTCTACGTTTGAAGCCTGCCCCTGAAACTTGTGAATTGTGTGACCTTGGACAGGTTACATAAACTTACTTAAGATGAGTTACCATCCTCAGCTGTAAAATAAAGATCATGACGATAATAATTCTACTACTACCAACTTCACAGGGTTGCAGGCAGACTGGATGCAATGGTGAGGGTGAACTTGTTTTGCAAATTGTAACATGCATCCAACATCTGGTAAAATATTTTCACATTAAAAAAATCAAAACAAAACCAGTTGCCACTGAGTCAATTCCGACTCAAGGCAACGCCACGTGTGTCAGAGTAGAACTGTGCTCCATAGAGTTTTCAAGGGCTGATTTTTCAGAAGTAGATAGCCAGACCCTTCTTCCGAGGTGCCTCTGGGAGGCACTTGAATGCCAGGCTGTCGGTTAGCAGCCATTTGTACCACCCAGGCCACCAGCTAGCTGCTGGTTTGGATGAACGATGAACCAACAAACCTGGACATGAGCTCACCAATAACACACACTCGCCAATAAATTATGGCAATATTCCAGAATGTTAGCTGCTGGAATCAGATGAAGATAGATTTAATGAAAATGTAAGCAAATATATTTGTGTCTAATAAATGGTGGATGAAGAATAGATGACTTTTAAGAAGCCTTTGACAAGGTTAAACACAAAGGCTGGTTTTTTTTTTTGTTGTTGTTGTTCTTTTAGAATCCTCCTGCGACCGGGGATTGCCTGGTCAAGGAAACTGGCTGGAGACTAAAATCAGAGGTGAAGAAGAAATGGACATTACTCTGGATATAGAAGTATATGCTAAGTTTCTTAAGTGACTTTCTTCCCCAAGAAAGGGAAGCTCAATGAAAAGGAGCAGAATTATGGAGTTTTTCATTATGGATATTCTGAATATTTAAAAAATATTTTCAATATTGAAAATCGTGGTGAGATTGCAAATAAGTAAAACTTTCCTGAAGAGCAATTTGACAATATACATTAAAAGCCTTAAAAATGTACATTCCCTTTCATCAGCAATTACACATTTAAGAAGCTATTCTAGTTAATTAACTATGGATTTGCTCAAAAAGGAGACGAATCAAATTACAAGACACATTCAATATAAAGTCAGCAGTCCTTAAAATAACTTGCATAACGCCGTAAGAATCAAAAGTGATTTGAAAAGGAAGACACGAAACTTATTCACAGTTGAAATGATTTTCTACATAGCAAACCCCAAATACTTTACAGACAAAATATTAGAATCAAAAAGAGGGTTTAGCAAGAATACAGACAAAATATACAGTCAACTGTATTTCCATACACCAGCAACAGTTAAAATTATAATTTAAAATAGTTTTCAATAACAAACAACAAGTATCTAGGGATTAAAAAACAACAACAACCCGGTTGCTGTCAAATTGATTCCAACTCATGGGAACCCCATGTGTGTCGGAGTAGAACTGTGCTCCATAGGAATAAACAAACAAAACAGGTGCAAGACTTTTATAAAGAAAATCACAAAATGACACTGAAAGGCATTAAAGAAGACATAAATAAATGGAGAGATGTGCTATACTTATGGAACAAAGACTCAGTATCTCAAAGATGTCAATATGTCCCAAAATCACCTATAGGGTCAATGCAGTTCCAATAAAAATCTCCAAAAGCTGTTTCTTGAAAGTATAGTCACAGACTGTTAAAGAAGAACAAAGCAGAGGGGGAGGCTTTGTATCATCAATTATAAAGACATAGAACTGTAGACATTAAGATGGTGTGGAATTGGATTAGGGAAAGACGAAAAGACCAATGGAATAAAATAGCCCTGTAACAGGCCTGCACATTTGTAGGCATGTTATGTACGACAGAGGTGGCCCTGCAGATCAGCGGGGAAAGAACCTGGGACAATTTCCCCTTACAGTACTCATAAAGGGGAAACAATGAATCTTACCTCATACTACACTTTAAAAATCACTTCTATTTAAGTCCAAAATCCACTTCAAATTAAGTACAACATGTGCAACGTAAAACTAGAGATTTTAGAAGAAAATATGAAGAATATCGCAATGACCTCAGGTTAGGAAAGGATTTCTTCATTAAGACAATATGCAAATCACAATCCATAAAGAAGAAGATTGATACATTTGACTACGTTAAACTTAAGAATTTATTTTCATCAAAAGACATCTTAAAGAAAAGACATGACAAATTGGGACAATATTTTTAACACGTAACTGTCAAAGGATTAGACTGCTAGCCAGAATATATAAAACCAAGTCAAACCTGTTGTCAGAGAGTCAATTTTGACTCATAGCGACCCCTTCAGGACAGAGTAGAACTGCCCCGTAGGGTTTCCAAAGAGCGGCTGGTGGATTTGAACTGCCTACCTTTTGGTTAGCAGCCAGGCTCTTAGCCACTGTGCAACCAGAGCCCCAGATATATAAAGGACTCCTAAAAGAAATAAGAAAAATATTCTAAAAGAACAATTGGCTAACGATATAAATAAATATTTCACAGAAAAAGAAACAATAACAACATAAAGTTGATTATAAAACAAAGTTGACATTTAAATGATGCTACCTTCATGAACAGTCATGAAAATGTATACTAAAGCCACAATAAAATACCATTTTATTCCCACCAGTCTGGCAAAAAAAAACTGAAAAGCCTATCAACACAAGTGTTGGCGAGGATGTACAGTATTATCCATTACTGGGGGACAATAAACTGGCATTTAGTGCAATATGCTACCCAGCAGCCCAGCAGTTCCACTTCTAGATAAATATTCTACAAAACTCTTGCTCATATGCACCAGGAGACATTACAAGAATGTTCATGCAATGCTGTTTGCAGAAAACTGTAAACAACACAAATGTCCAACGACAGGAGAATGGCTGAATTGTAGCATATTCATACAATGGAAGACTTTGCAATGGTGCAAGTGAATCAACTAAAGCTGAAGATACCAACAAGGATGCATCTCACTAACAATGTTTAAGGGGAAAAGCAAGTCACAGAAGACTAGAGAGGTAAGCTTCTGTTTCTACAGGTTAAAAAACACATAAAACTACACAATCTATTGTTTAGGAACACATATATACCTCATTTTTTTACACAAATAACATGTGCGCTACACATTTTTTGCCAATTGCACAACCCCCCCACCCCTGCACTATTTTTATAAGCACGCTATGCTGCTCGTTATATGTGTGAATGAGTTATTTGCGTGGGCATGTTATTTGTGAAAAAATACGGTACGTATGGTAAAACCATAAGGCAAAAAACCCCAAAACAGAACAAAAAAAAGAGAAATAATACATGAAATACAGGGATAATCTCCTGGGGCGGGGGGAGTTGGTGGTGGGGAGGTGAGTGGGTGAGGGGCTCATGAGGGTTCCAGTGTGCCAGAAATGTTCTATTAAGTTAGAGGGTGGGCATAGGGGTGTCTGATTTCTTTTTGATATTCTTTAAAGTGTACATGGAGTCCCTGGGTGGCAAAAACCATTCAGCGCTGGACTGCTAGCCGAAAGGTTGGTGGTTCAAACCCACCCAGAGGCGCCTTGGAAGACAGGCCTGGTGATCTGCCTCCAAAAGGTCACAGCCTTGAAAATCCTATGGAGCAGTTCTACTTTGCACACATGAGGTCGCCATGAATCAGAATCAACTGGACAGCAACTAATAACTAAAACCACCAAAGTATAAGTATATCCATGTGCTATATACTTATTTTTGTGTATGGTATATTTCAGACTAAAGTAGTTAATCAAGAAAAAATGTTATAAGAATGTAAGTGACATTGAGAAATGGACTCGAAATATTAAATTGTATTGTAAATCCTATTGTAAAACAAAACGTGCCAAACAAAAAAACCAAACCTGTTGCTGTCGAATCGATTCCAACCCATAGCAACCCTGTAGGATAGGGTAGAACTGCCCTATGGGGTTTCCAAGGAGCGGCTGGTGGATTCAAAACTGCCGACCTCTTGGTTAGCAGCTGTAGTGCTTAACCACCGCGCCACCAGGGCTCCACAATATGTGCCAAAACCAAAACACCTACCTGTTGCCGTCAAGTCAATTCTGACCTAACTGCGTTTATATGCGAAGAAAAAAGACTGGAAACAAGGTTTTTAACAGTGTTTATCTCTGGATGTGGGGTTATAGGTGATTTTTATTCTAAGGTGATATTTTTAATATTTCCTAGAATGAATATTTTTGAAACAATAAGAACATAAAGTTGATCATATACAGAAGAAAGAGAGTGTCTGGTAAACTAAGAAGTACACAAATAATAGCTGTCTCATGTATTACCATGCCTAGAAGTGGATATATTTTAAAAGAAATTATTTTTTAGGCATCACTTTGGAATAGTGGAAATCTAGACTCCTGACAAGTGGGTGTGAGGTGCATTATTGGGGAGGTGAGGATGGGTAAGGGTGAGGCCTCTTGGCCCTTAACAATGGGTTGGTCTTCTGGTAGCTCATTTTATATAGGGGAAAAAAAAAAAAAAAGGTGCTGCTAACTAAAAAGTTACTTCATTATTAGAAATGAATAAAAGACAAATAGGAGTATGTATTCTTATGTATCTTGTTTTCCTCCTCCTTCTTACATTTCTAATTCACTGCTGTGGAATTTTCTCAGGTACAAATGAATATCAATATGATAATTAATGGTCCAAGTACGCCATACTAACATATACAGAGAGAGCTCACATTCAAATAATCAATTCCCAGATCTGGTAAGCCAAGATCTGGGCATGGTAAACACCTATCAGAAATGAAATGGTAGAACCCTGACGTGCTGTTTAATGATAGCTTAAAAAAGGATCAGATTTCATAGCTGTAAATATCCCAAAATCATCTCACAAGAAAGGAAAGATCAAAGAAAAGGGCAATTAAAAAAAAAAAAAAAGATGTGACTTCTCTTTCTGTCATGCATGAGAAAGAGCACAGAAAACGGAAGCAGTGGTTACCCTGGCACAGCCTTTCAGAGAACCGAGGTAACTATGGTAACTGTTTGGGATTGGCCTTTTAGTTTGGAAGGTTCAAATTCTAGAACTGTTGGTTGGATTTGCGCTAAGTCCCGTGGGGGAGAGCTGTGAACTTCAAGTGCTGAATGGTTTATTCTCTAGGGATTTAGCAACCTTTTCGAAAAAAATCTTGGTTCTTAATTGCTGGTGAGAAGAGCTAACTGTATGCAGTCATCAGAAACCCTTTTACTTGGCAAACTTGCCTTTCTTCAAGTTATGGCATTAAAGAAAAAAACATTTTGGGCATACTTCAGAAATTGAGCAGGAACACTGAACTTTGCTTATATATATATCTTAAGAGTAACAAAGTAGAGATTGTTTTCTCAAAACAAGCAATCATTAGAATATCAAATAGGGACTATTGATGGTTTAAAATTCCCTTGACCCTCTAATGAAAGCACTGTTTATTTCGGCATTGGCAAAAATGGAATATATAATATATATTAAAAAATATATATATATATTCATATAATTATTCACAAATATATACTTACAAATATGTTTATATGTATTTCACATAATTCTGAAAATTCTCACCTTTCTTGCAATTTCTTGAGTTTCTCAGAGTCTGCCTTTATCTTGGTGGCTTCCTTTTCATCTGGGAAACCGGAGGCTGCCATTCTGTTTCCATTAACATTTTGATTTGGGAAATCAGACACTGCAAAGAAAGAAAAAGGTATATTTTCTTGCAGGGGCTCTGGCATGTGAAACTGGCCTTGTAAGTTCATTCCTGATGGAGAGGAGCTGGAAGAATCCACTGAGGACATGCCACCTTGAGGATTTAGTAAGAGATCTTCTGAATATAATGGAGCCCCCTGAGGTTGGCTTGTTAAGGTATTATCTTCTTCTCCCCTGACATCAAATTCATGTGCACTGTTTACTGGAAAATCACTGTGGTTTTCAGCACTGGCAAATGGATTCCTGCTTCTAATGGGGGACAGTGGTCGACGAATATTAAATCTTGAGTTCCCCTCTGAGTCTGAACTGTGAACTGAAGAAGATGATGTTGACAGGTCTACTGAAATATCATCTCTCAGCGCAGAATGCATTAATGACCCCGGAATGTTATAAGATGAATTCATTGATGATCTCTGAGCTGATGGTCTTCCAGAAAGAAAGCAGTCAAAAGAATTTCTAGAACTGTTTAAATAGTCCTGCCAATCCCTTTCATAATCATGGGAACCAGGCCTATCCAGCACAGAAGTACAATCATCAGGTACATTTTCAACATTGAGACCATCATCTTGTCTGGGTTCAGATTTGGTGTCCCATAAATGAAAGGCCTGTTTCTCAAGTTCACTGTCACCACTGTTAGTCTCTTTAGCAGACTCCCCATCAAGCAACCCAGGATCTTGGAACATCCTTTGCCCAACAGAAGGTTGCTCTGTCACTGGCTGCATTGCGCTGCTTCCTCTAAATAAGCCATGACTAAGCTCACTTCTTCTTAAAGAATTAGCTCTGGACCTTTCAGAATTTCCTTCAAAAGTTTTATTTTTGGTCTGGGTGGCCAGTGTCCCAAGAAATCTACTTCTCTTATGACTGGAAGGAGAACGGGGTGGGTGCATACCCACCAACAGAAGTTCTTCCTCTAAGTGGGTTTCCTCTTCAGTGTCATCATTTTGTCCTCCAGTGTTTAATGAGAAAATGGAATAAAAATCTTCATCTCTGAACCTAAATGGGGCCCTTCTTGGCCCTCCTGTGGTGGTGGATGTGACTGGTGGCCCCAAGGATGCACTCAGTACTTGAGGACTATTTGTTCCTTGGAAGGCCTGGGATAGAGCTGAATGTGGCTCACTCTGGGTAAGAGTACTCCTATCTCCTTTGTTGGCTCTCTCAGAGGTGTTCTCAGCTGTTGTCATCAGCTGTAAGGATGGCACCAAGTTTCTTCTTTCTCGAGTTGGCCTCTTCAGCTTAGTGTCACTTGCCCACAGTGGGCCTTCTTGCTGAACTACTGGATCTGCATTGAGAAAAGACAAAGTTATCATTCTATTATAGCTACCCATGGCTGAAAGGGTGAGAGTCCCTTAAGATAACAAACAAGCCCTGGAAAAGAAACTGCATTGTCAGAACGACTGGAGGCACAAGAAGAGGCTCAGTATAGTTTGCTTCATTTTTACTGCTTCTGAATTCTCTTTTGCATATTTGTGGAGCTTAGGCTGGTTCTAGGGAAGCTTGGGGGACCTTGAGGATACAGATTCTTCCTACAGAAGCCTCAGTAAGACGGTCCAACCCCAGGGCTGGTGCTGGGTAAACCTCTCACTAAATACTGGTTTTCATTCCAGTATTTACTGGAAACGAAAACGGGCACTCCAGGAAGGACTTCTACAAAAACCACCAGTGCTTTCTCATCCAAATTCATTCAACATACATTTATGACACCGCTGCTCCACACCCAGCTTTATAAAGCTTTAAGAAAAGTACAATCTATCTTGGGAGGTTGGGAAGAAGTTTATTTATTTTTCTTATTTTTTTATTTTTAATTATGCTTTAGGTGAAAGTTTACAGAGCAAATTAGTTTCTCATTCAAAAACGTATACACAAACTGTTTCTGACATTGGTTGTAATCCCTGCATTGTGTCAGCACTCCCCGCCTTTTCCTTTCCACTCCGGGTTCCCAGTTCCATTTGTCCAGTTTTCCTGCCCTTCCTGCCTTCTCATCTTTGTTTCTGAGCAAGTGTTGTCCATTTGTTCTTGTATACTTGATTGATCTAAGAAGCACGTTCCTTACGTGTGTTGTTTGTTTTATAGACCTGCCTAATCTTTGGCTGAAAGGTGAACTTCGGGAGTGGCTTCAGTTCTCAGTCAGCAGAGTGTCCAAGGGCCATAGACTTGGGGGTTCCTCCAGTCTTTGTTACATCAGTAAGTCTGGTCTTTTTTTGTGAATTTGATCTTTTATTCTACATTTTTCTCCCATTCTGTCAGGGATCCTCTGTTGTAGTCCTAGTCAGATCAGTCAGTAGTGATAGCCAGGCACCATCTAGTTCAGGAAGAAGGTTATTGACGCGGATGCCCAAGGACATGAATTATTTTGTTTATGGTTACCATTTAGTGGAAATAAAAACTATACATCTCTCATGAAATCATATCTCTTCTTTGTCACTAACCCATTGCCATCAAGCTGATTCTAACTCACAGTGACCCTATAGGACAGAGTAGAACTGACCCATAGGGTTTCCAAAGAGCAGCTGGTGGATTCTAACTGCAGACGTTTTTGTTAGCAACCGTAGCTCTTAACTACTGCGCCCCCAGGGCTCCTTCTTTGTCACTAGCTCCTAGTCAGTTTGTAACCTCTGGCTATAATAGGTTATGCCCCACTCCCATGGAATTGAAGTATGAGGAGCTGTAGAGAGTGGAGGAAAAGTGCCCAAGTGGGTAGGAATTTACACTGGTGAAACTACCTGTTCAAAATTTACCCTTAAAAAATAATAATGCATAAACTCATTTATTGAGGGCTTACACTGAATGGGTCAGAGATCATGCTAATGGCATTACATCTATGTATTTAGGCCTCACAATCCTATGAAACAGGTACCATCATCATACTACATTATAACTGAGGGGACCAAGGCTTAGGGAGGTCAAGTAACTTGTACAAGATCATATTTCTGGTAAGTGATGCAGTAAAGATTTGAACCCAAGCCTGCCTCATAATAGAGTTTGTGTTCTTAACCACTACCCTGTGTTATCTCTTATGAAACTGACTGAACTTTCAGTTTCCTTGTGAAAAACAGAATCCATTTAATTCATCGTGATGTGTGTGTGTGTGTTTTATTGAGGGTCTTTTTTACCCTCCCAATGTGGATAAAACACTGAAAGTACTTCTTCTTCTCTGATTCCACTTACCTTTACTCCCTCCTGACATTTGCCTTCCCCATTTACTCCTGTCTCTGCTATTCTGCGGGGTCTACTGAGGCTCTGCTATCCTTTATCATTCTGCTTCTAAAGTGGTTCACCCTGTAGAGTGGACAGTACTCCACTGGGTCTGGGAAGGTCTGTGTGAGAACAGCTCAGGTTGGTGAAATGCAAATCCTTGGAACATGCAGCTCAGCAAAGGGCCAAGTCAATACTGACTCGCTTTAATTGAGGCGCCTCACAGGGGAGCACCCGTCCGAGTCTCTAATGTCCTAATACTCTGTAAGCCTCTTTTATTGTTAACTGTATGGGACTCTCAGCGACACAGTGTGAATCTTTACTCATCAGCTCTTCTAGAAATCGGTTAAGCTCTCCTATCAGGCTCCTCATGGGTTTTATAAACTACAGTAAGAGATGTATCAGCAATTCAAGGATACTCTGAGCACTTGGCTGTGAATGTATATGAGGGAAGCTAGTGTGCCCACCCTGGATTGGGCTGATGCATATTTTGAGGAACCAATGTGTCTACGTCATGAACTGAGTTCTCCTATTTTTTTGAGGAAAAAAAAAAAAAGAACGGAGGAATCGGAAGTGGAGGCTCTGGTTGATTACTTTTCGTTTTGAATTTGATGACAGGCCTCAAAGATTAGCCAACAGTGCTGGAAACTGGACCTGCTGAAGGTCATCCCCTGAACACACACAACCCACTGAGTAGCAGGGAACTGCCCCTCTCCCTCCAAGCCAATTTAGTCTGATCTTCTGCCCAGGAAAGGTGGAAACACCTAACAGGCAAAAGAATCAGCTAGGGCAGCTTCGGAAAAACAGAAACTGGAAACTCAACGGGGAGCAGATGCTCACTTTACAGAAGCCGCTGAGCTGTCACCCAGTGACACCGGCCTCTGGGGCAGGAGAAGGCTCAGGCTAAGCACTGCGGCTCCTGCGGCTCCCGAAACACCCCAGGTCACACATCTCCACCCCTCCTTGTCACCATAACTGTCTTCCTCCTTAAACACTCCATCAGAGCCTCCATGGTGTATGTGTGTATGTGTATTTCCCCTAAAGGTGGCAGACTGTGCCATTCTATATTTATGCTATTCTAACCCTATTTATTGTGTCTATCAAATAGGGAGCAGATTTCAGTAGCTCTAGGGCTGGGAATAAACACCGAATTTGGCATGCCACGGATATGTTATTCATATACCAGGCCCTACAGATGTTGCTGAATGCCTTTCCGAGGCCCTGCCTGGGCTCCTGCTGTGACTGAAGAGCCTGTCACTACCAGGGGATCTAGATGCAGAGATAAAGCAGAGCAAGCAGCTATCTGCCCCAAGACTATGACTTTGGTCTGAACATCTTCATGTGCTTGACCAATAATTTCCTACATTCCAAAATCCATATACTTTTAATTTTTGTTTTCTGATTATACAAGTATAATTATATGCTTGTTGTAGAAAATTTGAAAGATAGAGATGAGGATAAAGAGGAAAGTAAAAATCACCCATAATCCAAAACTCAGGTGACCTTTGTTACTGTTGTGGAATTCAGGCGTGGGTTGCAAACTCAAGACCCCTGGGCTATTTTCATCCTGCAACTGCCCTTTGGCTCAGCATTTAAACATGAATTAAAAATGAATTAAATGCCTTTAGGTGGAGCATGTATGCTGAGTATCATGGATTGAATTGTGCCTCCCAAAAATCTGTGTCACCTTGGCTAGGCCATGATTCCCAGTATTGTGTGGTTATCCTTCATTTTGTGATCTGATGTAATTTTCCTATGTGTTGTAAATCCTAATCTCTCCCTGTGGTTAATGAGGCAAGATTAAGTTATGTTAAAGAGGATTAAGGTGGGATGCAACACCCTTACTCAGGTCACAGCCCTGATCCATGTAAGGGGAGTTTCCCTGGAGTGTGGCCTGCATCATCTTTTATCTTACAATAGATAAAAGGAGAGGGAAGCAAGCAGAGAGATGGGACCTCATGCCACCAAGAAAGAAGCACCGGGAGTGGAGCGTGTTCTTTGGATCCAGGGTCCCTGCTCTGAGAAGCTCCTAGACCAGGGGAAGACTGATGACAAAGACCTTCTCCGAGAACCGACAGAAAGAGAAAGACTTCCTCCAGAGTGAGCTCCCTGAATTCGGGCTTCTAGCCTCCTAACTGTGAGAGAATAAACTATTGTTTGTTAAAGTCATCCACTTGTGTTATTTCTGTTATAGCAGCACGAGATAACTAAGACATTGGGGTTTACCACAGGCCCCACAGCCTCTGTTGTGTATTTCACCTGCCATACCTGCTGGTTCCCTGAAGGCGTTTGTACTGGGCCTCTTATCTAGAGATACTCGTTGCTGTCCCCAGTCGATTCCAACTCATAGCAACCCTATAGGACAGAGTAGAACTGCCCCATAGGGTTTCCAAGGAGCAGCTGGTGGATTCAAACTGCCAACCTTTTGGTTAGCAGCCGAATGGTTAACTACAGTGCCACCAGGACTCCTATCTAGAGATAAGTGTTGTAATAACCCTTATCTAGAGACAGAGTGCTTTTACAAATTGGGATATTTGTGTATATACAACTTTATATCTTGCTTTCTTTCCCTAAACATTTTATTGTGAGCATTATCTCTTGCCATTAATTATTCTTAAAGAACATGATAACAATTACAAGGGAACATTAAATGAATGTATCATAATTTATTTAACTCTTCCCCTATTGTTGGGCATTTAGGTTGTTTTAAGGTTTTTTTGCTGTCATAAATTCCACCGTGATAAATATCCTTGCTCAGATGATCTTGGACTACATGTCTTATTTTCTTAGAATAGATTCCTAGAAGTGGAATTGCTAGGTCAAAAGGCATGAACTTTCTAAAGGCTTTTGACCCATGTCACCAAATTACTTCCCAGACAGCTTGTACCAAATTACCCTACTAGTAAGATATGAAAGCATCTTCCTCATAACTGTGTCACTGACCATCCATGTCAAGTCCTTGGCACAGCATTTGATACACTGGTGCCCAGGAAATGTTAGCTATTATTTTCAGTACCAGTATTCGCATTAAGGAAACCCTGGTGGCGCAGTGGTTAAGAGTTATGGCTGCTAACCAAAAAGTCAGCAGTTCGAATCCACCAGGTGCTCCTTGGAAACCCTATGGGGCAGTTCTACTCTGTCCTATAGGGTCTCTGTGAGTCAGAATCGACTCAATGGCAACGGGTTTTATTGACATTAAATTATTGAATATTATTTTTAAAACCTTAGCCAATTCAGTAGGATAAAAGTGGTATCTCATGTAAATTTACATTTATTACTTAGTGAGGTTGACATATTTTCCCCGATGTTTATTAGCCACCTGTATCTCTTCCTATGTAAAATTGTCTATTATGCCCCTTTCCCATTTTTCTATTAGGCATTTATGTTTTTCTTATTGATTTGTAAGTGCTTTCTATATTACCTCTTTGTCACACTTGCTGCAAATCTTCTCTCACTGACCTGATTCAAATATCTGGCTCCTACTCCACTTTATGGAAACCACTTTCAAATGTGAGAAAAGGAACTAAACAGAGATGGGTGAGGAAATAATTGGGGGAATATAAGGAGCCCTGGGGATGACAGGAAATTCAGACAAACCCTCAATGGATCCTAGGAAAATGGAAGATGTCTTCTGGGTGAAAATGGAGGATTAGATGAGCCCTGTAGGTCCAGGAACATCTCATGCATGGGGACCCTTACCTTTCAAATTATATGTGAGTGTTCTTCAAGGGCCGTTGGGGAGGTGGCAGAAGAGAAACTAACAGTAGTTGAGTGCCTGCTATAGGGATCTCTGTGCCAGGTGCTGGAGAGTACATTATTTCATTTAATTATTATAACAATGCAATGAGGTGGATATCATTATCCTTATTTTAAGAAAAGAGTGGCTACTTGTCCACCCAAGTTTCTACCACTGGGAGGAGGAAAAGCCGGAATTAGAACTCAAGTCAGGGCTCATATCCTTCCTGACTGGAAGCATTAGATAATTGGGGCCATTGTGGATGTCTAGTTCCTACAGATTCATATATGCTCTAATTAGCCCTAATTCCAAGCCAACCAAATACTACCATGTTCTACTATATATGTGTCCACTACCATATATGCCTCATTTTAAAATAAATGCTACTGTGTTCCTTTGGTAGCAAGGAAGTGTGATGCACAGTGGTTTCCCTAAGGGAGAAGAACAAGTCTATGGCCAGGTTGGCTGTGAAGTGTCACTTTCCTTGAGCCCTAAAGGAGGTTCCATAGGGTCTATTCTTCCTTTCCTTCCTGCCACCACAGGTCAGGGTAACATGGTTAGTAGAGAAGCATGGCTTGGGTCTTAGGATGAACGCTCAGGACTGAAACTTAGAAAAAAGAGGTATCCACCAAACCAGTGTTCCGAAATAAAACATATATTCATTTTGATGGTGGTTCTTACCCATTAAGATCTTGACTCCATATCTGCCCTAGATCAGAGGGGAGAAGATCTCTGCTACCCACAGACATCTATCCTCCTTTCCTGGGTGATGGGTGAGAACTGTGGCCAGGTGAGACCGCCCCCAGAGCTGCTGACTGCTTCTCCACCTCCTCCCCTCCACCCACCACCCACCACCCAAATGCCCTCTCTGAAGGCCACACCACTGGTGTCTACTCACAGCTGTGCATAGTTATTCTCATGGAGTGATGGAAGAGAAAAATAAACTCCTGTTGCTGTTTTTTTCTTTTCCCATTAGTCTCCCTTTCTTTTTTTTCTATATGAGAATATTTACTGGATTGGAAAGTTTCATCCCAATTATTTATGATCAGATCAGGTCACGTGTACAGGACAAAAAGTGTCTATTAAAATATAGAGTCAAAGTTTCAAATCTCAATCTAAGAAGACCCAGTGAAACAGTGGTTAAAGCACTTGACTGCTAACCTAAAGGTTTGTGGTTCGAACCTACCAGTGGCTCACTGGGAGGAAGATGTGGCAGTCTGCTTCCGTAAAGATTTACAGCCTTGGAAACCCTATGGGGCAGTTCTACTCTGTCCTATGGGGTCACTACTATGAGTCGGAATCAACTTGACGTCAGTGGGGTTGGTTTTTTGTTTTTTGGTTTAATCTACTTTTAACAAAAGTTGTTTCTTTCAAAAGTATAGTATGTAATGTTAACATTTGTTTCAACACCACTATCATTCTTCTGTTTCCTGTCACAGCATTGTGGAAATAGTACAATGTTAAAGATCCATAAGACACAACGAGGGTCTTCAGAGTTTAACTAGAACTGAAAGTCAGATCAGGCAATAGACACCAAAATCCAGGAAAAGAGTTTGGGCACCAGAGATCAGAAAACTAAGCAAAAAGACTGGGCAACAGAGGCCAGAACACAGGCAAACCTTGTATACAATAGGAATTTAGAGCTCAAATCTGAATATTGATGGGAATTATAGAATACCAACATCAAACATGGCTTGAACTAACGCATTGGATTTATAACCGTATTGTTTGAGAAAAAACATTATGCAGTATTGAGCCTCAGTAATGAAAAAGCGAGACAAATGGCCCGCCAGCCTTTCTTGAAGAAAAGTAGATCAAATAGTTTGCTTTCAAACCTTTTTATGTGTTTCATTTTAAGGTACACTGTCCTCCACGTAAAAGCACACATGTGTAAAAACCATAAAGAATTCACAGGTAACAGCACCAGTCAGGCCTCCTCTCTGAGGAGCAAGGCATGTGAGCCACGAGCCCTTACCTGCTCCCCTGAGAGCCGACGCCTTCGCCGGCAGCCGTGATTTCTGTCTGCTTCGATCCCCAGACGCTCCCGGGCTCTGCGCTTCTGGGCTGACTGTCAGTCTCTCCAGGTTTGGCCTCCTCTTCCTTGATAAAATCTGTGGTGCCTGGGCTGCTGGAAGGTGCAAAATCTTTTCAATAATTAATTTTTACAGGAAAACAACTTCCAGATAAAGAACGCTCAAAGGGCTCGGCAATGGAGGAGGCAGTTGAGAGAATGGGCCCTGGAGTCAGAGAAGAGCTGGATTCAAAGCTGGGTGAGCTGAGGCAAATGGCTTCATCTCTGGAAGCCTCAGTTTTCCCACCTGTTACATGGAAATAACGATGCCTACTTCACAGGGCTGTTGTTGACTGTGCCTGTGAAGCACTGGGCACAGGGGCAGGCACAGGGCTGTGGTTACCATTAATGAACATGACATCTCATTAGAGATACAGAGTCCCCAGAAGTCTTTTCTTCTGTTAAGTTTCTAGCTTTCAACTCACAGGTGTTGGGATGGGCCTGCTTATAACACTGTCAAGAGCCTTCTAAAGCTCAGACTCACAACCCTGCTGTTCCTCAAGCGTTCATCCAAGTTTGAATCACAACTCATTTTGGACCTGCATATTTACATCCTTGGGTTCTTTATTAACAGCTAACATGGCCTTACAGAATGATTCCAAGCGTCAGGGGTCCGTACACCTTCTTTCTTCTTTCTATGCTACCCACCAACTGTGCTGGGATGATACACTCATAGAAAGACAGTAGTTGAAGTGCTACTGTGGCTTGTATTCCCAATGAATATTAAAAAAATTTTTTTTTTCACAATTTGGATTAGGGTTGCTAATTGGTATGGAGAATCTCAAACTTCTTCTTCACATGTATTAAGTGTGAGTGCCTGTGAGTGTGGGGAAACAGTTTCGGTAATATCCACGCATTGCTACAAAGTTCTTGGGTTCACAAGGCAGTCACATTGTGACTGACGGGACTGAATCCCCCAAGAGAATGTGCCTGACTCATCCCCTTTTGGAATGTTTAGAAATTTCACAAATAGACATAGCCAGGAGGCAGCACAGGAGTAAATCTGGGAAGGGACCCTGCGTTATGTGTGGGAGAGCCCCCATTCTTGGACTTGGAGACAACTGGATTTATGTCCCAAAGTGAAAGTTATGGTTGCATGACTGATTTTCATCCAGATTCAGGAAAGAAAGAAAAGCTCTGTTTGGCAGCCCAGGAAGCCTACCTTAATATGATGATTCGGCACTACCTACTTCTCCTGAACAGCCGCAGGAGGGGAAGGCAGCGGGTTCTGTGGCCCAGAGGGGATCACGTTCCACAGAAAACTTACTAAAATGAAGGGAGTTGCTGGTAGTGTTAGTTCTAAAAGTTGGTAGACCCCAGACTGGTCATCGGTGTGACCGGAAAGGAGAGAAAAGAGTGAAGTTCTCTGGAAAATGAGAATATATTCTTTGGAGGGTGTAGGGTGCTGATTAGACATGATTTCACTGACTGTGGCTGACAGAAGAGGGAGAGGGATCAAGTGCTTCCCAGTAAGGGACACTGCTTTCTCAGAACCAAGATTTGCATTCGGGGCTTCTCCTTTACCACCTGACAAGCGGAAAGACTTCCCGATGCCTTGTCCCTCCCAGATCTCAGAAAAGTCAATAACTGCCTCCTCCCTTTCACTCTGGCTGGCAGAGGAGGAAGCAGTGGGATTCTTATTTACTTAGGAAGAAATAGAGGGAGGACCAGGGAAGGCGCAGGCTTGGGGCTCTGGCCAAGTCTGGGACCTAAGTCAGGACCTGGCCTGAAGATCCTGGTTACAAGGGTTGCACTTTGATTTCCAGGAGGACGTCCAGCAGAATATTAAATTATTATACTTCACACTACCCATCGTCCCCCTACCCCACGCCACCTACACACCCTCATGGGGAGCAATCTTCCCTCCTAGAAGGCCTTTCTTCCCCAGTCTGCACCAGCCAGAGGTTCTTCAAGGTCTGTTTATAGTCTTATGTCCACCAAGTTGGCTCTGACTCTACTTTGGCCAGAACCCTTGTCAAGATTCATATGGTCTTTATAGCACTTAAATGTTCTAAAATGGCTTAATGTGTATCTGTCTTTTCTCTCCAACTAGACTGTAAACTCCTTAAGGATGGGGACCATCTCATACCCAGTGTGTGTGTTGCCCCACAATGCATAGCATCATGCAGGGCAAATAATAACTGCCCAGTGCCTGGAGGGTTTGAGAAGATGCATTCAGCTGAAACTAGGAATAATTCCAAACCAGAATAATTCTTTTGTTGTATAAAATATCCAAGCTGGCTTGAGAGAAGCGATTTTTTAATTTCTGTTTCCTTGTTCAAAAATCTCCTTTCTTCAAAGCATCAAATCTCTTAAATGATTTCCAAAACCGTTTCTATGTCTCTCCTCCGATCAACATTTCAGCAAACTAAAGTAATAAAGGTGAACAACTAGAGATTGTTTTACCGAGGCCTGGCAGTGAAGAAATCACCGCTGTTAGTGCAGGCGGGATGCTCCAACCTTTGGCAATTTGAACCTCAGTTTCTGCAACTGTAAAATGGGAATATTAAGTCCTGCCTTTCTGGCTTAGTGCAAAGTTTAGCAATAATGTACATAAATAGCTTAACTCAGTGTCCGGTACATACTGGCTGCTAAAAAGTGGCAACTGCTGCTTTTACGTCAATGGGATAATAATAATAATAATGGGAAGTCTGAAGTCATCCCTATGAGAGAACTGAATTTGACCGGAAACTTATTGTCATGCAGTGCACGCAGGTTGAGAACGACTTATTCAGCAGGGTTCATTCCTGTGTAGTACTTGCTGAGCCTTTTAGCCCTTCTTTTTTAAAATCCAAAAGGCAAATAGCAACCCTTTTTTATTATAATTTGTTCAACAAATACCTGCATGCCTTTGCTATGCAATAATTTGAGGATTCACAAAGATGAGTAAGACATTTTGGTCCTGACCTTAAAGAGTATAATCTAATTTGGCCTCACGGTTGACTTATTATCTGTATTACCCTCTAGATTCTGTGGAAAGCAAACTCTTGTGAAATTCTTTCTTCTCCATCTGCAATCTAGCTTGCAAATGAGATGACCTAGACTGCACAGTTTGTATGTCCATGGATTTAAACATTTCAAACACTCAACTTCTATGCCAAGTTCATCACCAAAATGAACCAAACTTCAGACCTTTGAGGCCTTTCTAAGATAAGTCATCACCATGGCAATGTTACATGTATCAATCTGCAGGAAGACCAAGTCATATCTACACTGGAAGATAAAATATAGCTTCCTCTTTAGGTAGCCGGGTAAGCTCTTTGCTTCACAGAAAAGGGAGGGGCTTGTGTTCAAGAGTCTCATTGCCAGGTATCTCAACATCTGGAAGGGTTGTCAGTGCATTTTGAGAAGATTGTGGCTTCCTTAGTACCTGGGTGGCACAATCAGTTAAGCACTCTACTAACCAAAAGGTGGAAACTTTGGTGGCATAGTGGTTAAGAGCTACATCTGCTAACCAAAAGATCAGCAGGTCGAATCCACCAGACGCTCCTTAGAAACTCTATGGGGGCAGTTCTACTCTGTCCTAGAGGGTCGCTATGAGTCGGAATCGACTTGACGCCAATGGGGTTTTGGGTTTAACTAAAAGGTTGGCAGTTCCAATCCACCCAGAGGTGCCTTGGAAAAAGGTCACAGCCTTGACGACCCTATGGAGCAGTTTTACTCTGCACACATGGGGTTGCGATGAGTCGAAACTGACTGGTTTTTTTGGTGGTTTGCTTTGGACAACGTAAAGCCCATACCTATTTCTAGTATCTGAGGCCACCAGCAGAGAAGAAACTGAACAGCGGTTTAGATAAAAGAAGTCTGCTTCAGTTCTCTTGGCCATGCTGAGAAACTATAACTATTGACTGACTAGTTATTAATTTGACCAGGAACAACAACAAAAAAGTAGAAATTTCATATTTCTACAAGACCCTGACAACCTGACAACGAGAGAACTAAGCGTATTTGACTGTCACCTGATGGTTTTTTAGTTTCTCACGTTGCTAGTCACATATGCACACACACAGAGTTCCTGACAGACAAAACGGAAAAGAGAAGGAGGAAAAGAAAATGCCTGAACCTCTACCCCTCCCTCATGCCACCGGATCCTGGCTGCCTAAGAGGTGCCAAGATTGCGTCTAAGGGATGCCTTTTGAGAAAAACTTATTGCTTCCTTCGGATCGTGGGAAGAATTACAGCTTAATCGCAAGAACTGATGTTGCCTTGGTGTAACAGGCAGCTTTCTGTACAGTCCCAAATAATAGGTGGTGTTGACTTGCCTACCTGGGTGGCGTTGACTTGCCTACCTGAGTATGCTGGAAATGTCTGTTGTCTCACATACCCAGAGGAGATCTTAATTAAAGCTTAATTATGCGCCATACATGTGTTTTCTTTTGGAACCCAGGAGGTGGGATTTTTGGTTTTAGGAAACGTAGAGCCTAATAAGCAGGCAGGGAAGGGAATGTAAACATGCACTGAGCCCTTTCATTCATTCCTCCTCTGGGTGGTTCTGGATGGGTTTTCAGTACCAGCGTGTGCTTTCACAACGACCTGCCCCTGGCACCACCTTCTCAGGCGACTCGCCGTGTGGCATATTCACACGGCCAAGGGTATGATCAGACATGAAAGAGCCTGTTCCGATTCTGGTGGTCACGTTCCAAAGTGTGCCAGACACAGGAGTTAAGAAATCGAATGAGTCTTGAGAGATGACGGAATTTTATTGGTCGCTCACTCCTTTAGTGCTAGAAGGCGGAACCCCAGTGAAGCGGTTGCGGTTGTCTCGTCTTCCTGCTTCCCTGCACACCACACCTCCTGGTAGTGTTCATGGCATTGTCCTCTGGCCCTCCTCCCTTCCACTTGCCTTCTGGAAGCCTGGAGTTCCCCTCTCCCTGGCTCCCCTGTGCCGTGTGCCCTGCCAAAGGGGGCTTACCACACAAGGTAAATTTTACTGGGCCTTCTGGGGCCGGGCAGGCACAGCACAGGGGTCTCTGTGGGAGTGGGGCTAGAGATGGGGAAGTAGCACAGGGCTGCCGGGGACTGGGGCACAGGGCCTGGGGAGAAGGCTGGGGGGC